GATGAGTGGACTTCAACTCCCAGAATTCCCCAGCCAGCTCTGGGAGTTGAAGTCCACTCATCTTAAAGTGGCCAAGTTTGGACAACACTGATCTATAGGTAAAAGAACAAGTGAGTGGCTTCTTTCTGTCATACCGGTCTGCTTCCTAGGGGACATCTGGCTGGCTAGCTGGTCAGTTGCTATGGAAAATGGATGCTGAAGCTGGGTAGGCTGTGATTCACTCTCCTTTTCTCTTCTGAATGGATAAAAGGAAAACTACCACACTGCCATTTTCCTTGATAGAACCCAATGGAAGCCCACCTGCCCCCTTTTTTTAAAGCAGAAAATTATTCTTGGAAGTTGCTTCCTCACAGAACTTGGTGATCTGGGGGATGGGGTGGGGAATCACACATTGCTTGGAGAAGGAGAACCAAATTTCAGTTTGATTACAATCAAGAAAGTCATTGCAGCCAAGTGTTCATGTACTACTCTAAAGACCATTGTACGTTTTCTCTGAAAATATGTTCAGAACAGGAGCTGAGTTATGGAAAATAATAGATCCTTTCAACCACATTTTATATTTCTCGAAGGAATAGGTATCCCTTATGTTTAAAAGATGCAGTTTAAGCACACCTTGCAATTTAAAACCATAAGTGAAGCAGTTGTTACTCTTGGGCACATACAGTTTTACTTATCCTTGATAACCTGTCTCTGAGCACATGCACTTATGCGGGGAACCAGTATTTGCTACTGAGAACTACAGGAGACAAATGTTACTCTTCCCTGTGAAAAATTGGGGGGAGAAAAGAACGAGGCCTATCTGGTTGAAAAGTAAATCCTTGGGAATATTTTCAGCCATATGGCTGGATGTGGGCAGTAACCATGCTTATGCATGCTGCAGTTACGTGCTTTTTTGTTTTTAAATCCTGGTAAAATACATCAATAGAGCCCAAAATAGGTTTTAAAACTTGGCTGAGAATTTTATAACACACACAATTCTAAAAATCCAAATCAGTCCTGTGGGAGCCAGTATGAGCCAAGCGGTATAGCCGGTATGAGCCAAGCGGTATAGTCATCTGGTACAACTACCAGTTAGAACCATCTTGCTCATCTCCATCCAGCACATCCAAGTCCCGAATTATGTTCTGCAGAAGAGCTTCCATTACAGCAAAATTATCTAGATCAGTGTTTCTTAACCTTGGTAACTTTAAGATGCGTCGGCGATCCCCCCCCCCACACCCCCCCCCCCCCCCCC